TGTGAATGGCATCTAAATCCGGATCCTATCTCTGTGACTCAATCACTCGTCCAACAAGAGTGGGCTGAGCCACAAGACTAAACAAGAATGCCGACTCACCGCAAATATCAACATCAAAACACTGCAATCCCATTTCTGCCAAAACCTTAAGCGTTTTCTATTTTTGAATAGCCAAACCGGCTAAAGTTCCATGAGATTTCCAGCTTAAGGCATCTGCTACCACATTTGCCTTACCCGGATGATACTGCAAGTCAAAATTGTAATCTTTGAAGAATTCAACCCATCGCCTCTGTCTGTTGTTCAAGTCCTTTTGGGAGAAAAGGTATTTGAGACTCTTGTGATCCGAGAATACCTCGAATCTCTCACCATACAAGTAGTGTCTCTAAAACTTCAAAGCAAATACAACTACCGCTAATTCCGGATGATGAGTAGGGTAGTTGTACTCATGAGTCTTCAACTGTCGAAACCCATAAGCCACTACTCTACCATCCTGCATCAACACACATCCCAATCCATCACATGAAGCGTCACAATAGATCACATAACCCAAGCCACGCTCAGGTATCACCAACACTGGAGCTGTAGTCAATCTTGTCTTCAACTCCTGAAAAGATGACTCACAACAGGGACGGAGCCAATGAAGGCCTGGGGGGCATGTGCCCCCCCTGAGTTGGTCAACAACCTATAATATATGTGGTAATTTTTTAAAAAAATTCCATATATATGAAAAAATTTATACAGTGCCCCCCCTCAAATTTTTAGTTCCTAAAATTATATTTTTATTTTTTCTTTCTTTTCTCTTTTATTCTTCACATTCCTTAAATTTATTTAGTAGAAAAAGTCAAAATTTTCTTCCTCAATTGAAACTTTTCAACTATTTCCTTTTAAAGTTCTCTCATTTTTCTTTCCTTTTATACTTTAATAATTTTTTTCTTCTTTGTCTTTTGAATTTTATAGTTGTTATATATATATATATATATATATATATATATATATATATATATATATTCCGTATTTTTATTATTTTTTTAACAGCGTGCCCCCCCTCACTTGAAATCTCGGCTCCGTCACTGGACTCACAGGCTTCATTCCACACAAACTTTATCCCTTTCCGGGTCAAACGGGTCATAGGCACTGCCAAACGGGAGAAATCTTTCACAAATCTCCGATAGTAACCCACTAAACCAAGAAAACTGCGGATCTCAAACACATTCTTGGGTTGCTCCCAATTCAAAACTGCCTCAATCTTGGATGGATCAACCGATACTCCACCTTCCGAAACAACATGCCCCAAAAACTTCACCTCTTGTAGCCAAAACTCACATTTCTCATATTTGGCATACAATCGGTGCTCCCGTAAAATCTGCAATACAATGCTCAAATGGATCTCGTGCTCCTCCCGAGTCTGTGAACACACAAGAACGTCATCCACGAAAACTACCACAAACTGGTCCAAGTAATCGTGAAAGACACAGTTCATCAAGTTCATGAATGCTGCTGGCGTATTAGTCAAGCCAAAAGATCATATTTATCATATTTATCGAAAAGGTCATATTTATCATATTTGTCAAGCTTTCAATTTATATATATTTTGTCAAGCTTTTAGTCTTTTATCAAAAAGTCAATTTTCGTGAAATAAAAACTTCTGAAACTAGACCAAACTAAAGCAAGTTCTAGAACGCAGTAATGAGCTCTTTTCAAAGTAACAAAATCAGACCTATTTCGAAATATATAGTGGTATTTGTATAAATGAGTAAGCAAAATTCCTGGCATAGTTAATGAATAAAATAATAATTTTGCTATAGAAGTAAAAATAGCTACAAAAAAACATTTCTTATTTTAATTTTGCTTATAATTCGTCAATTCACACGTTATTACTAATTTGTGACAACCATTATTCAAGAACAGCCTGAACAGGTCAGGATGATATTTGCTCCTAACTCAAGCTCAGTTTGATGACAAATCTTTGTTCAAGCCTCACGCAAAGCATTAGAAATTGGCCCAAAGTTTGTAACAGCAACTTAATACAATAGCTCAGTTTGACATTGTTGGGCTTATTGGTTGGTATTGGGTCCAATTACCCAAGCTCAAAACTGATTCAACCAAAGCAAAACAAATTTACCGTGTCCCATGATACTCCAGTCTAACTATAAATTACCTACTCATCCATGAGTAGTTACTCTCCACTAATGGCTGATGTGGTTCGATCTTATACTAATACATGAATTTTAATTATAAATTTAAAAAGTTGAAAATAAAAATGAACGGAAGACTGGGAGTTCAATTTTCTTATTTATTACTTTTCTATTCTCATTATACTGTAGTACTTCTTCTTGAAGTAGTTTTTAAGTAATTGGAACCCTTGTAATGCTTTTTCTAAAATTCATACCATCATACTATTAGATAGATACACACAAAAATAAAATCTCCACAATTTCCTCTCCCCAAACAACTAATAACAGAATCTAATGTACATAATAATCAAATCTCTATGTGTGTGAACTTAAAGAATAATACCTTCCGAAAAGGGGGGGGGGGGGGAAAAACCTTAAAGAATAATAACAATAATGATAATGGGACTAAGTGGGATCCTGTCTTTGTTATGGAGAGGACTATTTTCTATTTTAATTAATTTGTAGAGGTTGCACAAGCTGCCCAGGTTGATAATTGCAACTCTTCATATGTCGTTGCTCTAAATCAAATTCACAATCTTAAAATAAAAATCAAAACCAAACTCCTGCTAATGATGACAACCCCATGATTTTGTTAAGCAACAAAAAAAACAAGATGAACAGAAAGAATTCAAGAATGAAAAGGTACCTTTGTCCTGGTAGAACTGAACTGAACAAACCAGAGAGAAAATGACTATTCAGTGCCAAACAGTTGGTGATGAATCGGATAGAAACTAAAAGAAGGCAAGAAAAATTGGGTGTGAACTTTCTAGTAAAAAAATTCTTCTCTTTTCACAGAAATTAAAAAGTAAAAAATAAAAAATAGTTAGAACCCAAATTAGCAAAAATCCTGCTAAGGATGACACCTTTTTCATGATTTTGTTAAGCAACAAAAGGAACAAGATGAACAAAAAGCATTCAAGAATGAAAAGGTACCTTCGTCTTGGTAGAACTGAACAATTGGTCGCTGGCCGTCGCTCCCCTCTGGTAGCTGCTGATTGATCGCCCGTCGCCGGTCATTGTTCACTGTACATTGTCTTCTTCGTCACACGAAAGGCACGGAAATGGTTAGGGGTTTATTGATCGCTGTTTACAGAGAAGGTGGGTGAGAGAGGGCGGCACGAATGGGAATGTGAAAGAGGCATTAGGGCTTGAAATTAGATAAGTGTAGAAAAGGACATTTTAGGCAACACATAAAATAGGAAGAAGGGTATTTTAGGCAACAGAAATATGAAACAATATTTTTTTCATGTGCCACCTCAACTTTTGGGTCAAACTCATTTTAGAGAAACTATGGGACTTTGACTTAGCCTCTTAGTAAATATGGTACCCTAACCCTATTTATATGTAATAATCCCTTTTATAAATGCAATTGTATAAGGGTAAAATAAAAAATTTGTAAATATAACAAATTTACACTATTATTTGGGTAAACTAGACCTTCCCTGGGTGGTTTGGTCTAATTGCAAATAAACTTGAAGTTTGTCAAATTTTTAGAAAGACACCCTGTGTCAGTTTTTCTTATAAATTTACTTAACTACCCTCTTTATTATATTATTAAAAATATCAAAATATTTTGGTATATAAAATGATTTTACCCCTTTAAACCATAATTCCCACCTACCTTCTTGTTCTCTCTCTCCACCTACGGCCATGGCCACCACCACCATCTCTCTCCCCTCTTTATTCTCTACTCTTTCGCACAAACCAACACAGTCCTATGAATCCACAACAATAATCCCCGCCGGAATAGGATCGTCCGGTTCAGCCGCTACTGGCAGCCCACATCCAGCCATCTTCCCCCAGATTCCCCCTTTCCACCGCTAGAGCCCACTGTCGTCGACCTCAATGACGAGATTGCCCTTGCTGTCAAGTGGGCAGTAAATAACTACTTCCGCCCTAGGGACGGCATGATCCTCGTCCATGTCCGCCCCACCTCCGTCCTCTACGGCGCCGACTGGGGCGCCATCGACCTCTCCTTCGACACTAACTCCGAGGAGTCACAATAGAAGCTCAAGGATGAATTCGACAACTTCGCCACCAGCAAGGTAAGAACCAAACTATTGTTGCGAACCCTTCCTTCTCCAACGACATTGCCACAATCACCAACCCGTTTTAGTTAAAATTTTGATTTTGACCTCCTGCAGCACCGGCGGCGTTTTTCCTCTAGTTGCTCCTCTTATGCGTATGTGTGTACATATATAGCAAACATTTTTTTAGGGATTACCTACTGATTATGTGTGTGTGTAGCTAGTGATTCCTGGTTTGCTGATCATGAAAGTTGTGTGCTTGGTGGTTTGAGTTTTGCAATCTCTTTCTTAAATTCATTCGTCTTCTGCAATATCTAATTGCATACAGGTAATGCAGAGGTTCAATTTTCAGGAATGGAAGAACTAAAAAAAAAATCAGATCTTTAGATTCACACCTAACAGTTTGAGAATTGACTAGGTAACATATATGATGAATTTTAGGTAACATATATATATGTGTGTGTGTGTGTGAAAACCCATTGAATAAAATTTGAATGATGATATTTTAATTTTTCATTACAATTATAATAGAAATTTTACATTATGGCTGTGAATACTCGCAAAGTCACAAATAAGTCACAACTTGGTCACTCACTTTTAATTAATTCACCAATACTAGTAATATAAGAAAGATATGGAGACTAAATGTTGGGTGTATAAACAAATTCATATATGTGTGTGTGTGTATGATATGGAAAAAGATAAGGGAGATGATGTGTGGTGGTAGTGGTGAAGGAGGAGGTAGTAGAGGTGGTGGAGTTGGTGGTGGTGGTGGGTAAGTGGAGAGAGAGAGAGAGTGAAGGGCAATTTTGGTTCTTTAAACAATTTTTTTTTTTTTTTTTATTTTATTTAAATTTGATGACATAGTAAGGGCAATAGGGTCTTTTTACTTAGTTGAAGGGTATTATGGTCACTTTAAACTAATTTCTAACATGTTCATTTTTGTACGAAGGGAGGTCTTTGCAAAATCGGGCAAACCTCATAGGACACATTGCAAAAATAATACAAACCTCAGGTTTATTTGTAATTAGGTTAAACCTCAGGGGAGGCCATTGTAATTTATCCTTATTATTAATAACATTCTAAAAATTTAAAATAAATTCTAAAAATGTTAATTATAAAAATAATTTTGTATATAGAATTCTTAGTTTAGGATTTTATTAGTATATTTTGATATAGAATTGATATTATGTATTTATTGAAATAAATTATATATTTTATTCTCTAAATTTCTTTTTATTGAATTTCAGTAATTTTAACTATTATATTATTATTACGATTATCTCCTCTAATTAGATTTCCTTTTAGTATTTTCTACTACTATATTGTTATTATTAGTATTTCTCCTCTAATTGGATTTTATTTTATTGAATTAAATAAATAATTTTTTTTAACATTATATATTTTGTTCTCTAATTAAATTTCCTTTTATTGAATTTCAATATTTCCGTTTTTTTAATTATATATATTTTCTTCTCTAATTAGATTTTCAACTATGCTACTATATTATTATAATTATTAGTGTGTCCTAGTACTATATTATTAAATAAGTTTTTAATATTATATATTTCATTCTCTAATTAGATTTTTATTTACTGAATTTTAATATTCCATACTAGTATGTCATTATTATTAGCATTTCTTTCTCTAAATAGATTTTTATTAAATTTTAGTAGTTTAACTTTAGCATTTTTTTTAAATATTATTTAGAAAAAAAAATTAGTATTATATATTTTCTTTTATTGAATTTCCTTTTAATATTAATAATAGTATAAATTTCCTTCTTTAATTAGATTTCCTTTTATTGAGTTAAATAAATAAGTGGTAAATGATTTGAAACACTTTGTACTTTTAATAATACTAGTAAAATTGAAATTCAAAACACAGATTTTTGAACCTCAAAGTTCAATTTCCTAATGAACGCACAATAATCTACTTAAATTTAATTTATAATTCTTTTATAAACAATTTTTAAATATAATTTAAAAACTATATATTTTTATGGTAATTGAATTTTATTTAAGCAAATATACCTCACATATAAGTAGATATACACTTGCAATATATTAAAATGGCTATCCAATGACACGTTACAATATTATTTTTTGTGATGTCTAATTTTTCAAATACTATAAATAGAAATTCAATAATAAGTGTGTGTTTGCTTTAACTTAAAAAAATGATATTTTATGATGCGTTGTAGTTATTTGAAATCAATTAGTGTTACAAGTAGATAGATTCTTTCTCCAAAAGGTTAGACACCATGTGATTTAAATTCGATTTCTGAAAAGTTTTAAATTCGATTTCTCCAGTATAGTGGACTGGTGTGCTTGACATTACCAGAGAACCAAAAACTAGTCTTTTCTCTTTCAGTTTTGCCTTTTTCTATATATGATAGATTTCTAGAATGATCTGCAAGTCAATGGAAAAGCCCAACACAATAGAAGTAGAACACTAGTTTTGAGTTCTCTGATCAACAGCAGCATGACTACTTTGGCAATAATGTATTGTTCATTGATTGCTGACGGTTCTAAGATGAAATGTTATGTACCATCTGAGTACGAGATAGAGCTGCTAACCGATGCTTTTTTTTTTCTTTTCTTCTAAGCTTAAGGCTTTTCTGGGAGTAATTATTGCTCATGTATGAATTAATTGTGTTTGATGTGTAGTTGGCTCTATGGATTTATCTATGTCCTTCTAACATAGCCCTGGTGTTTTCAATATAAGAAAATTATAAATCCTACTAAATAGAAGAGCCATTGTTTTAAGCTTAAAATATAGTCATTGAAGTTTGGTCATGACTCTGCATACCAGTCAACATGTTCTCACACACACACACACCTACTAAATAGAGGAGCCATTGTTTTAAGCTTAAAATATAGTCATTGAAGTTTGCTCATGACTCTGCATACCAGTCAACATGTTCTCACACACACACGCACACACACACACACACATTAGCAGTCAGATTTTGCATCTTGGACTACGAAGGATGAATTGATGAACATGTGAGAAATAGAGGAATGAACAATGATTATTGATATATATGTGTGTGTGTGTGTAAAGATTTATGTTCTGATATAGAGAATCAAAATTTAACTACAAGGAGGAAGTTCCTCCTTACATGAAGGGGCATGGACAAGTGATAAGGCTAGCACAAAATCCATGGAGAAACTTCAAACCTACCTACCAATGATCCAAATCCATCCATTGCCCCACTAGTTCTCCCCACAAAGGAAAGAAAAGAAAAGAAAAGGATTTAGATTTTCATGCCAACCAAACAATCATAGGAACATGAACACTTTGAAAGTAAAATGCAAACAAAGGACCCCATCGATCCCATATGATAATAAAATTTTAAGAAACAAAATTAAAAAAATCCTTTTCTCTTACATCAAAGGGTCCCACCCCAAGTCCCCATTTTGGCCCCTAACAATCCCATTTTTAGGTTAATGGTTGATATTCAGTTGTGTCATGTTTTTTCATCAAATAAACAATGACTAGTGATTTTTTTTTTTTTTTTTTTTTCAGTATATAGTTGAATGTTCTGTATCTCAACCGTAGCATTTTATGATCTGTCATGTAAATTTTTCAGTGTCTGAGAATTGTGGAGTAGTAGCATGTATTTTCTTATTTTGTCCTGCCATCATTTTCGAATAGTTTTGTTTTTTTGTTTTACACTTTTAGAGAATGATATGTAATGAAACACTCAAAATTTATCATTTCTTTCTATAACTAAAGATGCTAAGAAAGTTATATCTACAAGATTCATCATGTTTATTTATGCATTTCCAAATGATGAAATATGTGAGTGCAGTAAGTTACAGTGATTAGAAAATATTTCCTTCTTGAAGACTATGTTTCAAAAGTGCTGGAAGCATAAAATTGTAACTTTTTTTTTTTTTTCCCAGTAAGCCATAAAATTGTAACTTCATTGCTTCATTGTGCATGTGTGTGTGTGAGACACAGAGAGTGATTGAGAGAGAAGTAGTTAATGTCACAATCTGAAGTCAACTAAGAATAAAGAAGCGAAGTGTAGATTTTAAAAGTGAATTCATAGGAGCGAACATGAAAATTTCTATTGGATACTTGAAGTATAGATTTTAAGAATAGAGAGGGGAATTTAAATGAAAATTTTCGAACTGAATATTGGATTTGGTCAATACAGGCTGGGGCTAGAAACCTACATTCAAAGGTTAATGGCTGCTCAGAATTACTTCCGTCTATTACTTATGGTACAACTTTTTAATGTACTTTTCAGAAAAGAAAAAAAGAAACAAAAAAAACATGTTTCTTGGTTGTATGACTTGTATTTTGGCCTTATAAACCTATCAAATGTTATCAGTGTATAGTGTAACATGGGGATGACCAGCTCTTTTGTGGACGTTCAGTCAGTATGGTGGTGCATGAAAACATGTATGTGCTATGTATAAACTGCAACACATAAAATTAAAACCCAAAAATTAACATCACAATACTAATATGTTTGTTATAAATGCATTTTATATGATTATAGATTTCAATCAACAAGAAGCCTCCACATACAATGATCCTATACTCCTATGCTTTTCAACAAATACAAGAAAGTAAATTGCCTCCACACGGGCCGATGATAAATAATGAAATTAAAATGCCTCCACACGGGCCGATGATTTAAAAATTGGTCACTTCAAGGCATGTGACCCCCTAATACACCGCAAAGAGTTTAAAAATTGGTCACTTCAAGGCACGTGACCCCCTTTTTGCAAAATGGAAGCATGAAAACTTACAATCATCTCCGAAGCAGTAGCATCAGTAGCACATGACCCCCTTTTTGTTCACTCACTTTTTCCACTTCACTAACCGTTCGTTTCATTGTCAGCTTATTACTTATCCTTCCTGGAAAAGCAAACAAAAAAGTGAGAATTCATTTAAGAGAATGCAATCAAATTGTTAAAAAAAGGCGGTGCACAATCCAAGAATCTTTTTAGGTTTGTACAACTTAACCATCTTGAATTTTTTCATCATTTTTATGGATTTTTAACACCATAAGCTTTAGTGCTTCACCACTTCTGCAATTTTACATGATGGATTTTACTATTCTTACTATTTCTATAGGTGAGTAAAAATAGGTGATCGAGGTGAAATTCACCATCCTGTGAAATTTCACATGGCATGAAACTGAAAAAAAATTAATAATAATAATAATTTCTTGGAGAGAATTTTGATTCTTTGATGTATTAATCTTCTAAAAGCCTAAAAAAAAAAAACATATATATAAAAAGAAGCAAAGCTTCTAATGTACTCTGTCCGTCCCACAATAGTTGTCCACATTGGGACGAAGATAGTAATAGAGAAGTTAGTTATAGAGTGTGAACAACATGATTCGTGTTAGTTATATAAGTAATTATTATTTTAAAAAAACCAAATTTTATATAAGTAATTATTTACTTTCCTTATCTTGTCTTGCAATAGTATTATATTTCTCCCATTTTCCTGTAGGAACTCTTATGCAATTTAACAAAAAAAAATAAAATAAAAAATAACACTCTTATGCAGTAATAGAGGCTGATCAGACTAGTCCTGTGGGCTCTAGAGAATTGTTCGTAAAATGTTGGGAAAGTGAAAGGTTGCTTCAGTTGGAGATACTTGTGTTGAGAAAGGAAAGGAAAAGAAAAGGGAAAAGGAAAAGGAAAAAAAATAAAATAAAATGATTCCATCTATTTTTTCAACATTTGCTTTTATGTCCTTTCTTGTCATGGGTCCCTTCTCTTTAGGAGAATGTCTTACATAGATATATAGAAAACTTGCATTCTTTTGTTGAGGTGACCCCAATGCATGAAGCCATAAATTGAGCTTGTTAAGTCAAGAATGAATAAGCAAAAGCAGAAAGAAAAAAAGAAAAATGAAAAGATACACCAACTAATGATATCCTTATGTGAGAAATCATGAAGTGGGTATGTGTCTATGTTGTGTGTGTGTGCGTGTATTGGGAGAGATGGAAATTAGAAGGTGAATGCCATAAATTTTTAAATCTTTTCATTTTTTCATTTATGTTCAATAAGCACATAAGACACATACAGATTCTAATATTCAATAAGAAATTAGTATATAGTTTATTTCAGCAAGCATAAATATTACTCAAAAAAGATATAAAAAGCTGAATTCATGCAATTTTTCATGATGAGAAAAATATCATAGTAAAATATAAATGTTAAAAATGCGCGCACATACCACCTGACATTGTAATGGTGGAAAAATGAATTGTGATAGAAGATGAACACGAAGATTCATCTACACATGATAATGTCATAACGAACCAACAAATGCTCTGTTGCAAGGAAAGAACATTTATAGGGAGTAAGTAACAATGTTTGCGCAAGACATTTTTGTTTTGGTTTTTTTGGGTAAGGATACATGTGATATGAACAATAAAGAAGTATGTACAAGTTCAGGTATATCATTCTTTCCATGAAATTTTTTTACATGAAAAACATTTTTTGATATAAAATCATTTTATACCAAAACCAATGGAGATGAGAGAGAGAATCTGGAAAGCAGTAAACAAATTCAACTTCTCTCTCTATATATACACATATATATATATATATAATATAATCACTAAAAAAGATATACTACTCTTTTATAACATGATATTAATCTAAAAACAAAGCCTTCAGAAATCCTATGAAACGGACAGACCCTATAATAATTTGGTCATGACTGGAAAAGTCCCAATACATTTCACTTCATCCTTCACAACCTCTGTCAAAGTTCAAGTTCAACAAGCATTTCTGAATGAATTTAGTTTTCATAATATTTTAATAAACTAAGAGAAAGTGAAATCCAATGTTAACAGGCAACTATCTAAATTATCAGGTATAAAGGTTAGGAATGGTAAAAAGAATAGATCTCGAATAATACTCATTAATGTTGGAGCTTCCTGAACAACATATATCTAGAATAATTGTCAAAGATTAGAACAATTTAACCAGCTAATGTCTCTGTCATGCCATGGATTGCGATATTGTTGGTAGTACCAAAGGATTCCGTTCCAAATCAGGGCACGATGAGAAGTCAAATTAAACTTTCAGATCAACAGATTCCCAAAAAAAAGTAAAGAAAAATAGAGAAAAGTAAAGAAAAATTCAAAGTCCAAAACAAAAAAGTTCAAACAATCAAACATAGGAAGTTAGGAGCACACCTTGTTTAGACTTCAGAAAGCTGTAAGGAGGAGGCAAGGAGCTATCCAAGGCTTTCGCGATGTCCAGTAGTCGGGGGCAAGGAGCTAGGGCTTTCGCGAAGAGAGTCGTCTGCCGACTCTGCAGAAATAAAGCTAGGGCTTTGTAACTTTCCTACTAGTGCACGTTGACAAATATGGTAATTTCATAATTTAAATTAAAAAAATATATATACACAGGTAATCAAAATCAGAAGGCGAACAGTTACTAACCTAAAAAAATTCTCGTCCGATCTGTTAGTGTAGACGAGGTTTTGGAAACCCCCAATGACGACTCTTTCTCTCTGTGTGTGTGACTTTGTCTCTCTAAACCAAGCCACCAGTTTTGGAACGCTGACCGGTGATGGAAGGAGAGAGAGCTGTGATGACCGGTGATGGAAGGAGAGAGTTGTGATGACCGGTGATGGAAGGGCGAGACCGATGATGGAAGGGCGAGAGAGCTGTGATGGAAGGAGAGAGAGCGGCTGAAGGTGTTAGGGTTATTGCAAAATGAAATGGGAAAGGGGAATAAAGTGTTAATTGGCTCTCAAAAATGAAGTAGTTTAGGGCCTAAAATTAACGGAGGGAAAAAAATGGAGGGAAGGGGAAAAAAAAAAAAAAAAAGGAGGGAAGGGAAAAAAAGGCTAAAGACTTAATACTAGCGCTCCTAAAAAAAGCTTTGGTACAAAAGACCCAATACAAGCGCTCTTAAGAACGCTGCCACTAACGACCCAATACCAACGCTCCTACAAAGAGCGCTGATACTAAAGACCCAATACTAGCACTCCTAATGAGAGTGCTGGTACTAAAGACCCTATACATCCTATACCAGTGCTCCTAAAAAGAGCGTTGGTAATAGTGCACCTACACCAGCGCTCTTCAAAAGAACACTGGTAAAACCCCAATCTGTTGTAGTGAGAGATTAAAATGTACCTCTAAAACAATATATTTACCTATGAAATTAATAAGGTAGCTCATTTTAACCAATTTAAATGTCATAAAGTAGCAATATTCATTTACATTTTTCTCATAAAAAACATACGTAGTATTACTTAAATATTATTATATTATATGATAATTCAAGTCTTTTAACTGATTATTTATCACTTGTAATTGGGGGATGAGAACTTAATTCCCTTGTAATTGAGGAATGAGAAATTTAAGTGTACAACACAAAAATGCCATTGATGTGAAGGCTAAGACTACACATATCAACATCTCTTTAGTTCTAACCTACAATTGTGCACTCTTTTATATAATTGATAATGTCTATATGCGAATTATGACTTTACACTAAAAATAAATTTTTAGCTAAGTTTCCCTACTTTATAGATTTGTTTTGCCTTTGTCAGACCGATTCTCCAATTGTTTGTACTCTAAAAAATCATTCAGATTAAGACGTGGATCGAGGCTCACGGTGACCTCCTCTACCACCACGGACAGCCCTGGCAGCCCTCCTACCGCCTCGAATACCTCTGGTAGCCCATTTGCCGAGCATCACCCCCAGCGGCCTCATCCTCAACTGCCTCATCAATAGGAACATCCTCAGCAGCTCGTGTCGCTCTAGCCAAGGCATCCCTCGTGACACTACGGCCCCTAGAGGAGGCAGCCTTCCTAGTGCTAGAACTAGGATGTCGTCTTCTGCGAGAAGGGCCCGCATTTCCAACAGCCATCAAATGAAGCAACAGGTAAGTACCTCCCCACTCTGCAAGGAAAACATTTCCAATAATCAGTTAAAAATCAAAATTTTAAAATTCAACTGTGATAAGTAGCATGGTCAACATGAACTGTGAAAAATTGAATAGCAATCTCTGCATGCTTAGTTAGCTACAACTTGTTTATTGCGTATCTAGTTATCTGCAACTTGATATATCAATAAGTTTATGTTATTTTTGACTTCTCTATCTACGTATCTTGTTATCTCCAACTTGATAGATTAATATGTTTAGGTTATCTACAACTTAATGTTTATTTGTGTATCTTATTATCTGCAACTTGATACATCAATACGTTTAGGTTATTTACAACTTGCTTATTTGCGTATATTGTTAGATCAAACATGATAGGTTATTAGCAAATTGTTTATTTATGTTTCTTGTTTTCTGCAACTTGATAGATTAATAGGGTTTAGGTTATTTACAGATAGATTAATAGGGTTTAGGTTATTTACAACTTTCTTATTTTCTTATCTTATTATCTGCAACCGGATACATCAAGCATGATAGGTTACTTACAACTTACTTATTTGCGTATCTTGTTATCTACAACATAATAGATCAAGCATTATAGGCTACTTACAACTTGTTTTTTTGCGTATCTCGTTATTTGCAACTTGATATTTTTAGCATGCTTAGTTAACTATAACTTGTTTATTACGTATGTTGTTCTCTGCAACTTGATAAATCAAAATGCTTAGTTAGCTACAACTTGTTTACCTGCATAGCTTATTATCTGCAACTCGATAAATCAATGTACTTAGGTTATCAACAACTTGTTTAATTTGTGTATCTTGTTATTTGCAACATGAAAAATCAAGCATGTTTAGGTTATCTACAACTTGTTTAATTGTGTGTCATGTAATCTGTAATTTGATAAATCAATAGGCTTGGTTAGCTACAACTTGCTTACTTGAATATCATGTTATCTGCAACTTATTGTTTTTAGCATGCTTAGTTATATACAATTTGTTTAATTGTGTATCATGTTATCTGCAACTTGATAAACCAATAGGCCTGGTTAGCTATAGGGGTGGGACTTGGATGGGCCTAACACGAGCAACCTAATAGTTATACTGGAATGGGCAAGGTCATTGAGACCATAAGATGGGATTGGGTTTAAACTTTGGAACCCAAATTTATTTTGGGTGGGATTTGGGCAAAGATTTTAGTAACCCAAAAACCCGAAATATAATAATAGCTTACTTGCACATGTATCATGTTTATCTGCAACTTGATAGATTGTTAGCTACAACTTGCTTACTTGCGTATCATGTTATTTACAACTTGATAGTTTCAACATGCTTAGTTAGCTACAATTTGTTTAATGGCGAATCTTATTATATGTAATTTGATAGATCAATAGTCTTATTAACAACAACTTGTTTACTTGTGTATCATGTTATCTTCAACTTCATAGTTTTAGCATGCTTATTTTGCTACAATTTTTTTATTTGCATTTGTCGTTATCTGCAACTTAATAGATCAAGCATATCTGGGTTATCTACAACTTATTAATTTGCGTATCTTGTTATCTGCAACTTGACAGATCAAGCATGATTAGTTAGCTATAACTTGTTTATTTGCATATCTCGTAATTTGCAAACAAGCAAGTTGTATATAACTAATCATGCTTGATCTATCAATTTGCAGATAATGAGATATGTAAATAAACAAGTTGTAGCTAGCTATTTTTTATGTGGTTTACCCAAAAACTAAGATTACGTCAACGAGTTGCGGGGATTTTACTATGTTTACAAAATGACATACAATACAGATAGTTCAGAATAAATAAATATCATGCCCTCATGCAATAGAGCTACATAACAAGTCTGGAATATACCAAACTACCTTCAAAAATTTATCAAGCTCCACGTTACCCATCAAATACTTCCACAACCATTACGAACAAAAGAGAGGATATTAGATCATCTAGTCTCAGCCCCTTTTTTCCTTTGAAATCTATAATTTCCCATCGAGTAAGATTGAATAGGATGCACTTGAAACACATTCTCAATAAGGAAGTTCAAATGAATTGTGTCAAAAGCTTTTTGAAGGTCAATTTTCCTAAACATCTAGGCTGAGGAAATGTTCTGTGATACCCATTTAAATAATTCATGGCCAAGAAGAGTGTTTGCTAAAAATGCTATGAAAGAAGAAATGGATCGGAAGACTTCAACTAAAGAGGGATTGGGAACTTTAGGAACCAAAGCAATGCAAGAGGAGTTAGATTCCTTAAGCATTCTAACAGAGACCAAAAAAAAAAAAAACCACAACATTCTTAATACTTAAATTCAGTAGCTTGCATAATGTTGACATGAAGAAACCTTGCTTCTAAATAATCATACAAAATGTTGAAAAACATAATTTTGATAACTAGCCTGAATTTTGAAAATTAATAATCTGAAGAAAAAAGAACAAGAAAGTTAATTTTTTCCCATATTGTACTCTGTCTATGAAATGAATGTTAATGAATAAAGTGGATCCAATTGGGAAATTATGTTCATAAACCTGATAATCCCCGAGACTTTGGGTACGTAATTGATATAAAAGCACCAAATTTATTGAACTAGATTTTAAGGTACAATAAGGAACATCTTTCTCTGCAATTTTAACATCAGATGAGAAGCAAAAGTACACAATACAGTGCCCAATCTTGATTATAGACTTGTAAAGAAACATATTCACATAGAAAACTTTAAAATTCCAGTGATCGAAAAAGACAAACATTTCTAGAGCGAAAGGCCAAAAACCTCGAATCAGTATGGAACATGTCACAAAGTCAGGATAGAGTGCCACTAGTATGCAAGGAAACCAAAACTGCCCTTATTATTTTGTTAGGTCATTTAAGTATTTGCAATTAGAATATAACTAGTGTAACTTGCTTTGCAATAGCTTTGCCATTTAATTGAATAAGTGCCCTGTTGGGATTCAGAGGGAAAATCAAGTAGCACATGATTAGAAATCAACAATTAAATACCTTTAAAATTTATTAACAACCAATGTCGTTAGTTTGCTTAAGATATGATACATTTCGCAGATTTACTGGGAAAAAAGATCGGAAGGCAGGAAGAAAACTCACAGAGCATCCTTGTCCCTTCATTAGGTGTTAGCAATGGCTAAGAAACATTTTTAGGGTTGTAATTAAAATCATTTATCATGTAGTATGTGCACAAAAAGCCTACCAAAAGCTTACTTCAACCATGAAATGAAGGAGAAATAAAACTAAAGGGAGAAACTAAAAAAAAAAAGTCAAAAGGAAAGAAAGCACTAGATAATGTTTCTTATTTTCAAATAAAAAGTACAAGTGATTGCCAATCTACTGAAAAAGTTTGTAGTCAATTATCTCAAACTTAAACAAGCAAACTAATAATTAAAAGTTTTACCAATTTAAAGTAGAATAAAAGTTTGTAGTGAATTATCTCAAACTTTAGCACATATGTAACTGTAAAATTTTAGTAGCTCGCTTATAAACTGAAGTAGAATAATAGTTGTTGTCATGAAATTCTGACTTGCAACTCGAAACATCTGATTAGGATGCCATCTACTCATGATGAAGTTAAACAAGTCTGAGTATGGTAGAATTGGAAAATTTGGAAAAGTCAAGAAAAAAAAATTCAAGAATATACCATCCAGAGTAATAAAACTACTACAAATTGCGTTTATGAGAATATACTTAAAAAAAATTTGTAGGTATAATGAGATGAAGATGGAACTCCCTAATTAAGATTAATATACATTTGCAAATAGCAGAGGGAATTAGTGAAAGAGGACAATATTGGCCACTATTTCACTAATAAGCGAAAAAAAGGGGAAGTTTATATTGTTGCAAGACATAAGTCATATATATATATATATATATATATATATATATATATATATA